TTCTCTGCTTTAATGGATCTACTGCATATTGACGAGGTTACTTAGGCAGAGGGCAAAAAGAGAAGAAGACCAAGCACAGAACCCTAACAAGCTGTGGCATTGTAATACTAAGCAGAGGCTGACTTGTTGAGGTCTCTCTGCCTGCAGGTACTATCCTGTTACACATACTGTCACATTCATCATCAGTGCTGATTCAGGTTGAAGATATGAGGAAGAGAAGTAGGATCCTAGATGCAGTAATTTCATAGATCTCATTGGGGTACTTGGTGGGGGAGGGATGTTTGTGTGCTTTTGTTCTCTGGATTTTCATTCTTTGGGGTTGTGACTTGTGGTGTTCCTGTCTTGATCTTTCCATGTTGCAGGGTTTCTTTGAATGTCTGATTGTCTTTGGTTATGTTCATATTTAGAAATGAGGCTGCAAAGCTGAGTGTTTAGTATCGTTCATTGGGGATTAACAACTAATTGGGCTTTACTCTAGGGGAAGCAGATAAGAGCTGGATGCTAAGTTGAGACAAAATCCTAAATGCCAGAATATTGAGGGCTTTGTCTTAAGATACTAGCATCCGTTCTTGCTGCCTAGTTCTCTAAGAGTTTACTTCTTTGCACAGTCAGGGAACTTGACCATGCTTTGTACAGAAGAAGTTCAGCCTCCTGGTCTTAACCTCTGCTGTCTGGCCAGGGATATGTCCATGGGTTCAGAGCCTCTCTAGAGTTCTTGTAGGCAGATTTGTGTAGCTGGTTCTGTGGGGGCTGAAGGCTATGACTTCGTTTGTCTAGCTTCATCAGTTACCACTCCTTCGTTTACTTTCCATATCCCACAGGTGTGTTACACTCTCTTCCATGGAAACCTCTTTCTGTTTTCTCCTTTCCTGTGGACCTCTACTATTTTTATTCTTTTGACTGTCATTTTGATAGGATTTTGGGAGCAAGAGGAGATAAATTTATGCATTTTTAACCAGAAGCCCAGCAGATAGTAGTTTTAAGAGGTGTAGTTTTTTTTTCTTTCAAGTAATAAATTTATTTTTTAATTTAAATCCAAGTTAGTTAACATACAGTATAATCATGATTTCAGGAATAGAATTTAGTGATTAATCACATACAACACCCAGTGCCAACAAGTGTCCTCCTCAATGCCCATTGCCCTGTTAGCCCATCCCCCTACCCAATGCCCCTCCAGCAACCCTCAGTTTATTCTCTGTATCTAAGAGTCTCTTAGGGTTTCTCCCTCTCTGTTTTTATGTTATTTTTGCTTCCCTTCCCTTAGGTTCATCTGTTTTGTATCTTAAATTCCACATATGAGTGAAGTCATTTGATATTTGTCTTTCTCTGACTTTTATTTTGCTTAGCATAATACCCTCTAGTTCAAGGGCACCTGTGTGGCTCAGCCGGTTGAGCGTCCAACTTCGGCTCAGGCCATGATCTCACTGCTCATGGGTTCAAGCCCCGCATCTGGCTCTGTGCCGACAACTCGGAGCCTGGAGTCTGCTTCGGATTCTGTGTCTCCCTCTCTCTCTTCCAACCCTGCCCGCACTCTGTCTCTCTCAAAAATAAATAAACATTATAAAAATTTTTAAAAAATACCCTCTAGTTTCATCCATGTTGTCCCAAATGGCTATCAAAAGGAATGAAATCTTGCCAAGTAATATTCCATTGTATATATACCACATCTTGTTTATCCATTCATCCATCGATGGGCATTTGGGCTCTTTCCATACTTTGGCTATTGTTGATAGTGCTGCTGTAAACATTGGGGTGCATGTGCCCTTAAGAGGTGAGCTTTTTATTTTGACATCATTTTAGAGTCATTTTTTCTTAGCCCAATTTTTTCAATTTTATTTTTTATTTTTTAAAATTTACATCCAAATTAGTTAGCATATAGTGCAACAATGATTTCATGAATAGATTCCTTAGTGCCCCTTACCCATTTAGCCCATCCCTCCACCCACAACCCCTCCGGTAACCCTCAGTTTGTTCTCCATATTTGTGAGTCTCTTCTGTTTTGTCCCCTTCCCTGTTTTTATATTATTTTTGTTTCCCTTCCCTTATGTTCATCTTTTTTGTCTCTTCAAGTCCTCATATGAGTGAAGTCATATGATTTTTGTCTTTCTCTGACTGACTAATTTCACTTAGCATAATACCCTCCAGTTCCATCCACGTAGTTGCAAATGGCAAGGTTTCATTCTTTTTGATTGCTGAGTAATACTCCATTGTATATATATACCACATCTTCTTTATCCATTCACCCATCGATGGACATTTGGGTTCTTTCCATACTTTGGCTATTGTTGATAGTGCTGCTATAAACATGGGGGTGCATGTGTCCCTTGGAAACATCACACCTGTATCCCATGGATAAATGCCCAGTAGTGCAATTGGTTGGTCGTAGTGTAGATCTATTTTTAGCTTTTTGAGGAACCTTCATACTATCTTCCAGAGTGGCTGCACCAGCTTGCGTTCCCAAATTTTATTATTTTTTAATGTTTATTTTTGAGAGAGAGTGTGAGTGGAGAAGGGACAGAGAGAGGGGGAGACAGAGGATCCCAAGCGGGCTCCCTGCTGCCAGCAGCTAACCCAAGAACTCACAAACTGAACTGTGAGATCATGACCTGAGCTGAAGTTGGAAGCTTAACCAACTGAGCCACCCAGGCACCCTGAGTTATTTATTTTTAACAAATATTTAGGTGGCTCTCATATATAAGGCCGAAGACTAGGGAAACACAGGAAAGAGTAACATGATTGTCCTTGACTACAATGTCTCCTGGCTGACGAGCAATAAAGCGAAGTAAAGACAATGGAGTTGTATATGGTAATTTCTTATCACTTTTAAAAGTGTTTCCAAAGATAATGATACATCAGGGAGCAATCACTTCAGTGTGAGGGTTAAAAATAACGTGAAATACTTGATGGGGTAAATGTTTTATTTGGTTCTCCTGGAAAGATGAATAGAATTTCTATGAGCAGAGATTTGGGTTGAAGCGAGGACCTTCCAAAAGAAGAAAATGACCTGAACAGTGACTCAAAGGAATGAAGCAGAGACTGTTTAAGAGAAACTAGTGAGTCAGTTTGACTAGCATATAGAGCCTCTATAGCAGCCTAGTTCTGAGCAGGGTGTAAAGACTGGGTTATCCTTGGAAAAGAGGAGGAATCTTAATCCTGAAAGAAGAGAAAAGGACATCATTGAGACCTTTTGAGACAGGAAAAGAGGATTGTCAAGGCCTTCATGCTACATGTCATTGGAGTGAATGAGATTGTGTTGGAACTCAGGAGTAAGGTTGCAGATTTACTCAAAAGACTGACTCCCTTGTGACCTTATGACTTTGGAGTGGAATTTCATAAATAAAATAAACCCATCTAAGAGGTGTTCAAACTGGGGCTAGATTTGAGGCTGCAAAGTGAATATAAATAGCTTAACAAAGTGGACAAAGCAGTTCTGATATTTGACAGAGTGAATCCTCCTTTACTAGAAAATACAGTCATTCTTAGGGGGGGTTGGTGGGATGATTTTGAGGAAGAGAATCCAGAAGAAAAAAATGAAAGAAAAATACCGTATGATTTCACTCATATGTGGAATTTAAGAAACAAAACAAATGATCATGGGGGGGAAAAAGACAAACCAAAAAAGAGACTCTTAACTATAGAGAACACCGGAAGAGAATGGGGTGGAGAATGGCTTAAATAGGTGATGGGGATTAAGGAGTGCATTATGATGAGCGGTGATATATGGACGTGTTTAATCACTAAATTGTACACCTGAAACTAACACTGTGTGTTAACTGGAATTCAAATTTTAAAAAGTATAAGTAAAAACATCAAAACAGTATCATTCTTAACAGTGTAACTATTAGATTTGGAGGCATTTTCCCCTGGGATCAGATTCCTATAGGTTTGTTCTTGGGTTCTTTGTTTTTAATCTTGGAATACATTGCTGGTTTTTCAATTGCTTTTATTTCAGATACGATCTACATGGAAATGTGTATATGAGGTACTAAATTTGGGAGTTTAAGTTCCAGAAAAGGAGCAAAACTAACTGGAAATTTAAACATTACTTGATTCTGTGTGTCTGTGTAAGAACTTAGGCTGTTTCAACCTAAGCCTTCATTTTAGACCTAAGAGTTTTATGAATCCTATTTACTGAATCACTTTAGAATAGCAGTGGGAAATTCTTAATTTTATATTTAGTCTTCCATTCAGTTAAGTAACTCCAATTAAGTGCAGATAACTGACTTTTTACACTTAGTGTTTAGCATGTTTTTAGTAATTTTTAAGTGATTCTTGGTAGGTTCAGGCAAGCTTTTAATTAGTCAAGTAGTAAGTACTCTTCTGAGTCTCAGTAGACTGTGCCTAGTGGAAAGATACGGGTTTATAGTGGCTGTCGTTGTAAAAATACGCTGTTCATCATTTTCTCTCCAGTATTATCTCCTGAGGTCCCCGCTCAAACATCACCTTCTCAGTGGTACCTCTCCCGGCTGCCTTACCTAAAATGTCCCCTGTCTGCAACATTTCATATCAGCTTTTTCATCTTTATTTTTTTCCTCCTTAGAACTTGTCTTGATCTGATTTATTGTGTATTCTGCCTACATCTTTTTTGATTTGTCTTTCCTACTAGAAAGTAAGTTTTGTGTGATTAAGAGTTTCTGTGTTTCATTCAGTACTATATCCCTAGTGCCAAGAACAATATCTGGTAAATAGTATGCACTTAGTAAATGGTTGTCAAATATGGTAACCATGGTCACTAATGTGTCTCTGTAACACTCATTTTATTCCAAGGTAGAGTTTACCGGTTATGTGTAGTTTATGAATTTGCATCAGAGGAGATACATTAAAAAAAACATTTTCTGAAAAAATCTATTTTTTGTTTGTTAAATGTTAAACCTTTGAGTAAGGATGTTAGTTTTTCTTAAATGATTTTAACTAAGTAAGTTAGAAATCTGGCATATAAAAACCCTTAAACAGTGCTACTGCTGTTAAGGATATTAAAGTCCTTTTTCTTTTTTGTACAGGTGCAAGTGGCATGAAGAAAACGATATTCTCTTCTGTGCTTTAGCTGTTTGCAAGAAAATTGCGTAAGTTGGAGAAAGGAATTTCTTCATAATGCTGTATTCTGCATTGAATTCTTAGCCATTTTGCCCGCTGTTGCTTTCACCAATGGGGTTAAACACTGTTCACTTCTATTTCCATAATTCTCTTTTTAAAAAAATGGTTGGGTTTCGTGTGTGTGTGTGTGTGTGTGTGTGTGTGTGTGTGTGTGTGTGTGTGTTTTCATGTTAACCGTTACTATTCTGCACGTGTGACACTTGTTTGGGAGAGTTAACCACCTGAGTGATTTGGGTGAACCTTCAGGAGCATTTATTGAAAATTTTCATTATAGGAGAGTGAAGTTCCCTACCATCATTAACAACAGCACCTCCTTGTTAAGGTGCTCAAAAAAGACCCTTTTCTTCTCATTTTTAAAAATGTCTCAAAAGAGAGCGAGAGTGAGCAGGGGTGGGGCAGAGAGAGAAAGAGAGAATCTCAAGCAGGCTCCAGGTGGTCAGCACAGAGCCCAGTGTGGGGGCTTGAACTCACGAACTGTGAGATCAGGATCTGAGCCAAAATCAAGAGTTGGATGCTCAGCCAGCTGAGCCACCCAGACAGCCTGCTTCTCATTCTGTAGTGAAAACACCTGGAGCCTCAGCTCTCTGGGTGCTCTGGTGGTCCCTTTACATGGCTGGTGGCATTGGTTTTGAGGATAGATAAGTGTTTTTAAAGTTGTAGCCTAATTTCTGTTGCTGCCCTCTCCTTGCCTTAAACATTTGAGAATTCTAGTAATCTTTACTCCCATCCATGTTTCCTTATAATGAACCTGAAATTTTATCTGGTAATCAGTGGAGTATTGCTTACTAGTAATGACCAGTTTATTGTATGTATTGCTACCCATTCCCATTTCTTCTCTGAATCTCTCAATTCCTGCCCCCCCAATTTAGAATGGTATATCTTACATGCTTTTTCTTTATATTAGAAATTTTAAAAATCTGAATCCTTTTAGAATGAATTAGATCAGATTCTGATAATGAGCTTTTATTATTTCCTTTTAAAGGTACTGCATCAGTAATTCTCTGGCCACTCTCTTTGGAATCCAGCTTACAGAAACTCATGTACCACTTCAAGATTATGAGGCCAGCAACCGTGTGACACCCAAAATGGTTGTATTGGATGCAGGGCGTTACCAGGTAAGGAGCTGACTTTTAGGAGCTCCTGGTCTCTTTGTGCTGTTCCATGTGGTCCTGGCCAACAACAGCTAAAGATCGGGACTTTGGTTCTCTTTTTCGTAAAACATTTTTTAAAAATCCTTTGTGGAATGTCAAACGCTTCTTAATCCAATTGGACCCAGTTGCATAAATCTTTTTTCTTCTATATTTTCCTACTATGTTTAACAGAGTTTTAGGAAAATCAAAATTAGCAGTGGACTAGTCTATACAAATCATATCCAAAGTTCATTCCAAAAATTAAGTGTCTAAATGTAGACAGTATAAATATTTAAAATATTTACTTCAAAAATAAGTAAGACCTGATTTAGGATTTGATTAAAAGCTGTCTAATTTCCCTACCACCTTTCTTCCCTCTACATACAGTCTGTGTGTCTTTAGGCAAGTTATTTGAGTTTTCTGTGCTGATTCCTTATCTGTAAAACAAGAATAATAATAAGGGCTAGTAGTTGCAGGATTAAATGCAACTGTATATGAAAGTGCCAAGAACTCTGCCTAGGAACATAGTACATAATAAATGTTGTTGTCACTTGAAAATAGTTCATAAAACAGTGAAAAGGGAACCCCCAAAACAGAATGAACTATTGTTACAGTCAAGGATTAGGATCTCACAAGTATTATACTTAGCAAAAGAAGCAGACTCAAAATATTATATGACATTCTTTAAAAGGCCAGACAATAATGATAACATATCCAGAGTTCCCAGGGGCTTGGGCTGCCTGTAAGGGGACAGCACGAGGGAAGTTTTTGAGGTGATAGAATGGCTCTGTACCCTGATTGCGGTAGTGGTTTCACAGATCTCTTCGTGTGGTAAAATTTGTAGAGGTGTACCCCCCCAAAACAAGTCCATCTTAGTGTATGATAATTTAAAAAAGAGAGGGTGCCTAAATGGCTCAGTGGGTTAAGCGTCTGACTCTTGATTTCGGCTCAGCTCATGATCTCACAGGTTCGTGAGATAAAGCCCCGCTTCAGGCTCTGCACTGACAGTGCGGAGCCTGCTTGGGACTCTCTGTTTCTCTCTGCCCCTCCATCGCTCGTGCATGTGTGCACACTTCCTTGCTCTCTCTCAAAATAAATGCACATTTTAGAAAATAAAACCGAGGATATCCCGGAGGTCTCTGTATATTCTTCAAGCAAGACTTTTCTTTCTCCTGTTAACTCTCAACCCAGTGATTTATCATCCAGTACCTATTTTGTGTCCTTCCGGGGACATTAGGCAATGTTTGCAGACGTTCTCGGTTGTCCCAGCGGGGGAAGGGGTGCTACTGGCATCAAGTGGGTAGAGGCCAGACGTCCTACGATGCACAGGACAGCCTCCCACAGCAAATGTCAGTAACGCCCAGGTTGAGAAACCTTGCCTTCTTACCCTGTCATCACTGTGTTGAGACTGCCAGAATTAATCTCTGTATTATTTTTTACATCACTCACTGCAGAAACTCAGGATACCTAAATTCTCCCTCATCTCCCAGACTCTTCTTGTTTGGCTGACTGTGTTTCCCGGCCCCACCCAACTCCTGGAAAACTTTTCCGTGGGTCTCTCAACCTTAGTTATCAGCAAAATCTCAAATATCTTCAATCTTTTCTTGGGAAGATCTGTTTATCTTCCGTCTTCTAACTAAAATTTGGCTATCCTCTAAAGATACTGCTTCCCTATTAATCCTATCAAATCATACCCTCGTGAGGCACCTGGGTGGCTCAGTCAGTTAAGCGTCTGACTTTGGTTCAGGTCGTGGTCTCACAGTTCGTGAGTTCGAGCCCTGTGTCAGGCTCTGTGCTGACAGCTCAGAGCCTAGAGCCTTCTTCGGATTCTGTGTCTCCCTCTCTTTCTGCCCCTCCCCGGCTTGTGCTTGCTTGCTCTCTCTCTCAAAAATAAACACTACAAAAAAATTTTTTTAAATGGTGACATCTTTTTTTCCCCTCATTTATCATGGGCTTAGATTTGAGATAGTTTTCCTTGTTTACCATTGCCTCTTATAGGCTTGTTCCTATCTTCTCCCTAAAATCCTTAGACTTTGGATCTCCTGCCATAAAGGCTCTAGCGCCTGATAACCACATCGTGGAGTCAGTAGGCCCCTGAGTGGCATGTCCTCATTCCTAGAGCAACACTGAGCCGTGTTACCAGACAGGATTCCTGCCGGAATTCTTGAGGTCAGCTTCCACGTAGATAATCCAAGTGCCTGACCTCTCAGTTCTTTGACTTCCCTTTCTCCGGCGGTCCTGTTTCCCACTATCCTGTCCTAGACCTTGGTGGTACCACTGGCACATATGCAGTGCTGCAGCCTCTCCTGAACCTCCCTCACCCCTGCCCTTGACCTCCTTCCTTCCCAGCTTAGATCTCTGGATCTGTTGTTTCCACTCACTTGCAACATCAACTTCATTGACCCTCCCTTTTTTTTTTTTATCATACTTGATTGATAAACACTACCCTGACTGAATCTAACTCTTCCCTATTCTATTCCTATACTCCTGAAGCTAAATGAGACTGAAAAGAAACTGCCATACTGACTGATCTAATCACTACCAGCTTCAAGTGAGCCCTTAGTGTTACCTGTCGGTTGTCCATTTCTCCCACTCTCCTAGAGCTTTTTCTCACCCCCTTTCTTTTTTTTGTTTTTGTTTTTGTTTTTTTTTTTTAATGTTTATTTTTGAGAGAGAGAGGATGAGCGGGGGAGGAGCAGAGAGAGAGGAAGACACACAATTCAAAGCAGGCTCCAGGCTCCGAGCTGTCAGCACAGAGCCCGATGCAGGGCTCGAACCCACGAGCTGTGAGACCATGACCTGAGCCGAATCGGACGTTTAACTGACTGAGCCCCCCAGGCGCACCTTTCTCACCTTCTTTCACTTCAGACTTCAACCACCTCATCCCTCATTCATCCTTGTTTGAGCTGATGCCCTTGCCTCCTACTTCTCTGAGAAAATAGAAGCAATCAGAAGAGGTTTTTACATAGTCCTACCACTGCATCTACCATGTACTCTTTGACTCCTGTTTTAATGCACGAATTGTCTGTGTTCCTGCTTAAGACCAATCCTTCCATTTACGTTTTAGATCCTATTCTCTTACCTGCTCAAAGATGTGGCTCCAATAACTTACTTCTCTTTCCCGCATCATCAGGGTCTCTCTCTGTTCTGAATCACCAGGAAACATGCTATGGTCTGTTTTTAAAATTAATGTTTATTTATTTTGAGAGCAAGCGAGTGTGAGCAGGGGAGGGGCAGAGAGAGAAGGAAGGAGAGAATCCTAGGCAGAGCCCCACATGGGAGCTGAAATCAAGAGCCAGACACTTAACTGGACTGAGCCACCCAGGTGCCCTGTCATCTCATCTTTAAAAGTAAAAACCCTCTCTTGACCCTGTAATTCCCCTCCAGACACTACCCTCTGTTCCTTTTACAGCAGTCTCTTCAAAAGTTGATCAGACATTGTAAAAGTGGGTGTTGTTTGTATTTTATAAACAGTAATTTGAAATTGAAGTAGGTGATCCAATAATTGATAAGAAAACCACTTTTTCCCTTGTATTTTTCTTTGTTACTTATAGAAGCTAAGAGTTGAGAGTCCAGGATTTTCTCATTTCAACTCTTCTAATCAGGAACGAAGGTCAAACACACACACTGGTAAGCATCTTCTAAGAATGTACCTCAAGAAGTATTGGGCCTAAAGCTTATTCAGATTCTAGGGTATGGTACTTATTAAACAGATACTCTAAATTAGTTTTAGGTTGGGGCGCCTGGGTGGCTCAGTCGGTTGAGCATCCGACTTCGGCTCAGGTCATGATCTCACAGTCTGTGAGTTCGAGCCCCGCATCGGGCTCTGTGCTGATGGCTCAGAGCCTGGAGCCTGTTTCCGATTCTGTGTCTCCCTCTCTCTCTGCCCCTTCCCTGCTCATGTTCTGTCTCTCTCTGTCTCAAAAATAAATAAAAACATTAAGAAAAAAAAATTAGTTTTAGGTTATGAGGATCTTATTGAATTGGGAATTTTATTTGATGTTACCACCTTAAACAATTTCAATATGTATATTTTTGTATCACTTTAATTTAGTCTTATTTTTGTTCAAGGCATTTAAAATAAAGCCTTTTATTCCTGTAGCAGCTGTAGTTTTGTAGTTCTGTGATGTCTTTGGGCAGATAGGAAAATTTTAAAGCTAGTGACGTGAAATTTCAAGTGGTGCCTGAAGAACTTCAATTAAGGTTTCTGGGGCTAAAAGCAGAAAGAAATATTCTTGTTCAGGCTTCTGCCTTTATTCTGAGAATCTGTTTTCCTTTACTAAGAATCTCTGTCCTATTCATGAAAGGCCTATAATAGGATAAGAGTTAATCGAGGCATCTCTAATTAATAAAACTATAAAATTGCTACATTTCTTTTCTTGTATTTCCAGTATCCTTAGGTGACTGTCCATCTGGGGTGAAAATTTCTGGCCAAAACAGCAGTGTTCGGGGAAGAGGGATTACGCGCTTACTAGAGAGCATCTCCAATTCCTCCAGCAATATCCACAAATTCTCCAACTGTGAGACATCGCTCTCACCTTACATGTCCCAGAAAGATGGATACAAATCTTTCTCTTCCTTATCTTAATGATGGTACTTTTTTCAATTTCTGGAAAAATTACAGGCCCAACTTCCCTTCTGACTAGTCATATTAAAAAGATCACATCAATGATAAATGTCACTACTGTAAAAACTACTTAATTTGTAAGGAAATTCTGTTTCATAGATTAAAAATAATTGTGGTTGGAGAAGATCTTGGCATTTTTGCTTTTATTTTCTTCTTAGGGCTTGTTCTACTTCCTGACTGTATGGTGTGAGCGCCATTAAAGTTTGAGTCCTTTACAAACAAAACTGGCATTTCAGAGTTGTGCTTTTTGGGAATGTTTTGATAATCTTTTCCTCTACAATAAAGGTACTGAATATCTGTTATAAAAGTTTTTCAAATAGTGTTAATCTGTTTCTTCCCATTATGAGATGTGGAACCTTATTTAAGTACCTACTTTATAGACATATCTGTTATCTATCATCTTGGGAAATCCTTATAACCATTTTGAGAAAGGAGATTACCTCCATTTTACACACACACACACACACACACACACACACACACACACACACGACTCAGAGATCCAGGTCACATTCAGGAGTAACTGTAACTGACTCCAAGGACTGTTTCTCATATATGGCATTGTCTTCTACTTCCTTTTCATCTATTTTTGATATCAGATCTTTTAACAAGAAAAAACTCATACAGTGTAAGTTTATATTGCATTTTCTACTAGAAGATTTTTTAAAAAATCTTATATCCAAGCTTTGAAAACCTATCTTTCTTCAAAATCAACATGACAGTAATTGGGTTGGCTGGGGAGATGAAGAGAAGGCCTAAAATTATAATTCAGATCCATGGCTTTAGGTGCCCAAGTCCTGTTCTATGCCATCTGAATTTAATCTTGTATTATTCAACTTATATTTTAAAAATTTTATAGCTTGTGCTGCACTTTTGTAGTATACATGTCAGATAAACCAAAACAAGAAGTTCCAGAGATTTAGGTTAGAAGAATGGCTGATCTTTCTCTTCATAAACCCCCCAGATCTCATTAGTGAAATTCAAACTCCTGTCTCCCACTTTTTTTCAAAATTCTCTTGAAAGCAAATTTGAGGTATTAACTACCCTTCGGGAAGACTTGATGAGTGATTGGGATAATCAAAGTTATCCTGGTTGAAAGTGATTTCTGCTCCATTTTCAGTAACATTTTCTTTGTGTTATCTGACAATATTTAGAGCTTTTAACTGTTGCTGTTTGAGTTCATCACTGAGTTTTTCCTCAGTTGCTCATTTTGAGGTGCCCGTATTTCTGTACGAGATGTTCAGTGAACGTTAGAATGAATAATTTCCAGTAACATCTCCCATTCCATAGGTTGCCTTTCAGTTTTGCTGTGCAGACAGAAGCTTTTTATTTGGATGAAATCCCAATTTTTGCTTTTGTTTCCCTGCCTCAAAAAGTTGCCATGGCCGGTGTTAGAGAAAGTACTGCCTGTGCTCTCTTCTGGGATTTTAATGGTTTCCTATCTTACGTTTAGGTCTTTAATCCATTTTGAATTTCTTTTTGTGTATGGTGTAAGAAAGTGGACCAGCTTGTTTCTTTTGCATGATTGCTGTCCAGTTTTCCCAACACCATTTTTTGAAGAGACCATCTTTCCTTTGGATATTCTTTCCTGCTTTGTCAAAGATGAATTGACCATATACTTGTGGGTTCATTTCTGGGTTTTCTGTTCCACCGATTTCTGTGTCTACTTTTGTGCCAGTTCCATACTGTCTTGATCACTACAGCTTTGTGTTATAACTTGAAATCGGGAATTGTAATACACCTCCAGCTTAGCTGCACTTTTATTTTTCAAGGTTACTTTGGCTATTTGGGGTCTTGTGGTTCCAACATGTATAAATAACTTAAAACTCAACACCCAAAAAGGCAATCCAGTTAAAAAATGGGCCGAAGACAGGAACAGATATTTTCCAAAGACCAACAGATGGCCAACAGGCACATGAAAAGATGCTCAGCATCACTCATCATCAGGAAAATACAAATCAAAACCACAATGAGATATCACCTCATACCTGTCAGAATGGCTAAAGTTGACACAAGAAACCACAGGTGTTTGTGACCATGTGAAGAAAGGGGAACCCTCTTACACAGTTGGTGGGAATGCAAACTGATGCAGCCACTCTGGAAAACAATATGGAAGTTCCTCAAAAAAGCTAAAAATAGAACTACCCTACAATCCAACAATTGCACTGCTAGGTATTTACCCAAAGGATACAAAAAGATAGATTGAAAGGGATACATGCATCCCGATGTTTATAGATAGCATTGTCAACAATAGCCAAATTATCAAAAGAGCCCAAATGTCCATCAACTGATGATTGGATAAAGTGTGTGTGTGTGTGTGTGTGTGTGTGTGTGTGTGTGTGTGTATACATACAATGGAATATTACTCAGCCATAAAAAAGAATGAAATCTTGCCATTTGCAATGACGTGGATGGAGCTAGAGAGTATTATGCTAAGTGAAATAAGAGAATGACAGATACCATATGATTTTACTCGCGTGGAATTTAAGAAACAAGCGATCATGGGAAAAAGACAGATGGAGAAACAACCATATAAAGAACAAAGTAATGGTGACCAGAGGGGCAGGGCAGGGGAAGATGGATTAAATAGATGATGGGGATTAAGGAGCTCACCTGTTGTGATGAGCACCAGGTGTTTTATGTAAATGTTGTGTCAGTAAATTGTATATTTGAAGCTTAAAAAAAAAAAAAAAATTACCATTGCAGATAGTGGAGAAGGAATGCCAGAATTCCAAATCCACATCAAACAGTAAAGTACTCCATGAGGAAAGGAGCCCATCTTTCTTGTGGAATCCATTCCCATTCCTTTCCTCAAAAGTAAATGATTAATTTCATTTATTCAGGTGAACATGTTCTGAGGGTCTGCTAAATGCTGGGTAGAAAATACCAAGGTAAATAAGTTGTTTCCCCTGTCTTCAAGGAATGTCATTTCATGGGTGTCATGAAGGATTACTGTATTACTAAAAGTGCTTAGCGTCACCTGGGTGACTCAGTCCTTTAAGCATCCAACTTTGGGTCAGGTCATGATCTCACGGTTCGTGGGTTTGAGCCCCGAGTCGGGCTCTGTGCTGACAGCTCAGGGTCTGGAGCCTGCTTCGGATTCTGTGTCTCCCTCTCTCTCTCTGCCCTTCCCCCGCTCACACTCTGTCTCTCTCTCCTTCAAAAATAAATAAACATTTAAAAAAAGTGCTTACGTACATAGATCAACTAATAGAATTGAGAATCCAGAAATAAACTATGGTCGTTTGGTTTGACATTTGTGCCAAGACCATTCAATGAGGGAAATAATAATAGTCTTTCTACAAACGGTGCTGGGACAATTGGATACCCACATTCAAAAGAATGAATTTGGGCTCTACCATTTACAAAAATTAGCTCAAAATGGATGAAAAACTTAAATATAAGAGCTAAAATTGTACAACTCTTAGAAGAAAACATAAGGGTAAAACCTGACCTTAGATGAGACATTGGTTTCTTAATAGGACAACAAATGTAAAAGCAACAAAAGAAAAAATAAATTGGACTTCATCAACATTAAGTCCAGTAAAAGTGTTCTTGTGCATCAAAAGACACTGTCAAAGTCAATAAAAACAGCCGCAGAATGGATGAAAATATTTGGAGATCGTTTTATCTGATAAAGGTCTAGTATCCAGAATATATAAATAACTCTTAAAACAGCAATACAAGACAACCTAATTAAAAACCGGGTGTGTTTGGGCAGCTGGGTGGCTCAGTTGGTTGAACGTCTGACTTCGGCTCAGGTCATGATCCCACAGCTCTGTGAGTTCGAGCCCCGCATTGGGCTCTGTGCTGACGGCTCAGAGCCTGGAGCCTGCTTCGGATTCTGTGTCTCCCTCTCTCTGCCCCTAACCCACTGGCATTCTGTCTCTGTCTCTCTCAAAAATAAATAAACATTAAAAAAAAAAAAACAAACCGGGTGTGGTATCCTTTAAGTTCTTTTGCCCATTGAAAAAAAATTTTTTTAACATTTATTTTTGAGAGACAGAGCGTGAGCAGCGGCGGGTCAGAGAGAGAGGGAGACACAGAATCCGAAGCAGGCTCTAGGCTCCGAGCTGTCAGCACTGAGCCTGAAACGGGGCTCAAACTCGCTAACCGTGAGATCATGACCTGAGCTGAAGTCGGACACTCAACTGACTGAGCCACCCTGGTGCCCCTCTTTTGCCCATTTTTTAATTGGGTGGTTCATTTTCTTATTAAGTTTTAAGAGTTCTTTATACAACTTGGATAACTGTATTACATGTATCTTTTGCAAATAGTTTTTCCTCTGTGGTTTTTCATTTTCTTTGTATTGTTTTTTGCAGAACAGAATTTTTCATTTGAATGAAGCCCAGTTTATCATTGATTTCTTTCATGGATTGTGCCTATAATGTTATATCTGAAAAGTCATTTCCATATTCAAGGTCATCTTAGATTTTCTTCTTTGTTATCTTCTAGGAGTTTTATATTTTTGTGTTTTCTTTCTTTCTTTTTTTTTTAACGTTTACTTATATTTGAGACAGAGAGAGACAGAGCATGAACGGGGGAGGGTCAGAGAGGGAGACACAGAATCCGAAACAGGCTCCAGGCCCTGAGCTGTCAGCACAGAGCCTGATGTGGGGCTCGAACTCACAGACCGTGAGATCATAACGTGAGCCGAAGTCGGACGCTCAACCGACTGAGACACCCAGGCGCCCCAGTTCTAAAAATATAATTTAAAAAACCCCATACATTTGGAAGTCATAGTGGAATCCAAAAGCTTCTTTGTAGCTAAATGATAGTAATGATAGTAAAATAAATGATAGTAACTAATGTTATGATTCTGGATAGAATTAATAATACAAATTCTACATATTACATTAGGATACTGAGTGAGGGAAAATATGGCTTTAAATACACTATGAAAAGAAGGGCTGAAAATTAAGCAACTAAATACCCAACTTAAGAAATTAGAAAATGAACAA